AAAAGAGAAGTTCCGACTTCTCAAGAACAGTTTTGTCAGTATGTTATAAACAGCTGATGATTAGAATTTTGTACATTTATTGTCTCCAAAATACATAAATGATGAGATCTGATCAAAGAATATAGTGAGCTCCACAAAACGTAGTATCACCTAACTGGACACAGAAGAAGTGAAGTCAGTACTTCGTAAAGACACGACTAGTCCGCTTAGCTGCCTCCACTGCCAGAACTGTCTTTTTTGCGAAACATGTCGTGCCGGACCTTAGGGCTAACAGCCCTATGTGGTGGAGTACTATTCGGCATGTTGGGCATATTGGGAATATCTTGAGACGGCACCATCTCCACTCCTCGTATCCGCATATTTCGCTGCTAAAAAATAAAAAACCTAATCGTTGAGCGAACTTTAGATTTCGCTGCTAAAAAAATAAAAAAATCGTTGAGCGAACTTTACAAAAGCATAGCCGATTACCGAGTCTGTGTGAGTCAGCGATGTCATAGCGAATCTATGAGAGACAACTATGACGGTCTCTTCATGAACGCCCTCATCTGGATCTGCACTAGCCTCTACAGGATGCCAGTCAAGGGTCTGAAATTATCATTTTGCTCAAAAATCATATCTTGAAACTTATACCTACCGTCTGAATACTTGGAGCAGAAAGGTGCATTTGAGCTACTGGATCTTCTACTTTCACCTGCAAAAATTACCATCACCAATATATGTAGGACAAGATTTGAAGTGTATAAATACCTCTTCGTTCGGCGCTGGCGAATAAGTGCTTCTCGGCCGACTTCGAGACAAAAGACGTGTTGGGGCTCGATTGTACGTTGGCATCTAAAAAAATCAAAAACACTGAAGTAAGTATAATATTGGTAATATAATACCAGGTTGTCCCAAAAGTAAACCCATTTTTTGAAAAAAATCATGCTGTTTTTGCTTTCCATGCAGACTGGGATATCATTCGATAGAGCGAAGCAAACTCTGCAAAATGACCGCCAAAGATCCGCCTAAAGGTCGGGGCATACTTCACGCGATTTTAGTCGCGACGCGACTTGGCA